CAATCCTGGGACGCTGTGGCTAGCCCGAGTTCTGAAAGCAAAGGAGGAGAGTGCCACTGGAACCTAGGGAGGGTAGCTGCACGGAGACAGTCACCCGAGAGAAGCGACAGCCTCAGGCAGAGGGATGCAGTCACCCTAGGGGCCCCTCCAGGGAGGAAGTTGGGAAAATCAATACCCTAAACTCATTCTTCTCCAACCAACAAAATGCCTTCTAGTCCCTCTCATCATCTGCTCCAGTCAGAAGCCACAGGGCAAGAGTGCCTATCAGTGTCGCTAGTAAAAGTCACGTTTGCAGGGAACACAGTGAGGAAGGATAAGAATGGCTCTGGTAGGGCAACGGCTCTCTGACTTGCATTTCACCTCATCTTTTTCTCCTGTCTAGCTTCCTTCCCTCATTTTTGACAAATAAAGAATGCCCAAGATGTGAACTTCTTCAAGAGCTATCTGGGAATGACTGAATTTTAAAGTCTCTAAATAATCAAGAGCTTCCTATAACCTATATAAAAGAAGCTTTACCCAAAGTCCGGGCCAGCGGTTACATCTCTATTTGGAAGAATGAACAAAGGCCTTAAAGCTACTACCACCAATTTCTATCTAACCCTAGACTTGAAGCAAGCTAATAAGCTATAGAACTTTCCTTTCATCTGCCTGGAGAGAACCCTCCCTGTGGTATATTTAATTTTTGTGAGAAATAGAGTACTTCAAATAACTTTCATTGTTTAAGTTCCATAAAGGTTTGCATAAAACCAAAAGATGAAATCTATGTTCCAGTGAAACAGCCCCTTGAATTATTTTCTATCATATTTCATAAAACATATTTTTCACCAGTATTTCTAAATAAAAAATTATCTCACACATTATAAGTTTCCATTTACATGATGTCCAAAAACAAGCAAAACTAACCAATAATGGTACATGTTAGAATAACGCTTACTTCTGATAGGAGGAGGAGGATTCAGGCTGGCAACAGGCATGAAGGAACCTGTTGGAAATGCTCTAACTCCAGATCTTGTTTTATAGCTTGACATAGATGACATGTTATCAAGAATTATTGGGCTATGCCATTAAGGTTAGTAGACTTCAAGCACTACAATGTTTGTTGAGGCATTTTATACTGCAATTTAAAAAGAAATAATTATTAAATGATTTTCCTAATTGCCTCCTCAGCAAATATCTTAATGTAAAAAAGGTTTGGGGTTCATACATTTACTAGGCAGCAAACTGTGGTTGTCAGCCCATTTGCCTCTTTTCTACACAGTTTTACTGGAACACAGCCACCGGCTGCTTTTGTGCCTTAGCTGCATGGGTGAGTAGTTAGAGATGGCAAGAAGTACAAAGCCCAAGATATTTACTATCTGATCCTTTAAGAAAAATTTTGCCAACCCTTGACTTAAACTTCACATAATAAATTGTCTTTTTTCTAGGAGAATTCAAATTAATCTCATTCAGATACCAAAGTAACAAGAGGAAGATTCTTTAGACAGCTTAGTAAATTACTCAGTAAATTGCAACCAAGAATTTTACAAAACTCTAACATAGGGTGGCCACATTCTTCTGCTTGAGTTACACTATGGGTTTAAGACACAGATCACAAACTGGCATTCTGTTTAGACTTACACAAAGTTAATTTTTTTTTAGCTGATGCCAACATTTAAAAATAGGAGAGTTTTTTTTTTTTTTTTTTCAAAAACCAACATTTTGCTTCTCATTAAAAAAATAAATGGAAGATCCAGCAACACTGGGATCATATTCCTACAAGGTAACAATGAGCTCAAGTGACTTCATCAACAGAGAGGCCAAGCATCACTGACACTCAGTATCGCTTCTGCATCATTCATTTCTCTTACAGCACAGTTGAGAGGAAAATGAAATGCGGCTTCTAGTTGCACCTACATAAGGAGTAGGAAAGTGGAAGACAGACAGAGGCAGAGATTTCTTTAACACTCAGCTCACTCTTTATCTTAGTGACTCTTGGGCACATGAGTTGAAAGTTGAGGTTTAAGCAATGGCCTCTAAGGAAAATGGCAGAAAAGAATGAGAGGAATCTGGCCCGAAGGGCCAAAAAGGGCAACGGTTTACGCCTCCAGATATCAAGAGGTGGGTGTCTTCCTCTATCTCCCACCTTGGGACAATTCTGCCTATTAAAAAGCTTTTTACTATTTTTTGCAACTTCTTGTGAGTCTATAATTATTTCAAAATAAAAATGTTTTCTGAAAAAGCTTTGTCTTACACTGACTAAAAATCTGTCCAGTTTCATAAAACGAGTTTAATCCTCTTCCATCAGAAAGTTCTGCCATTTTCTATAGCAGGAAGTCCCCAATCCCTGGGCCTCAGGCCGGCACTAGTCCGTGGCCAGTCCGGAAATGGGCCACACAGCAGCAGGCGAGAGAATTAGCACCTGAGCTCTGCCTCCTGTCAGATCCATGTGGCATCAGATTCTCACAGAAGCGCAAACCCTACTTTGAACAGCACATGTGAGAGATCCAGGTTGCATGCTCCTTACTAACTAACGCCTGATGATCTGAGATGGAACAGTTTTATCCTGAAACCATCCCCCTGACCTCCTCGATCCGTGGAAAAATTGTCTTCCATGAAACCAGTCCCTGGTGCCAAAGATGTCAGGGACCGCTGATCTAGAACTCCTGCCCAGATTCTCACCAAGAGTCTCCTTTCCCAAGGACTAGAAAAAGAACAATTATTATCACCTCTCTTGCTGTATCATGAATTCATTCAATTAGCAAATACTTACTGAGCACCCACCATGAGTCAGATACTGTTCTAGATTCTACGCGTACAACACTGAACTATGTTCTTGCCCTGGAGAACCTACACTAAGTTATTAGGTGGCCATATCATACTACCAATTTTATTACACTAAATTTAGTCCACTAAATTCTCTCTATTTTTTCTTTTTTGACAGGGTCTTGCTCTGCCACTGATGCTGAAGAGATGCAATCACAACTCACTGCAACCTTGAACTCCCAGGCTGAAGAGTTCCTCCTGCCTCAACCTCCCGAGTAGCAAGGACTACAGGCACACACAACCATGCCTGGCTAGTTTTTATTTTTTGTAGAAACGGGGTCTCACTATGTTGCCATGCTGGTCTTAAACTCCTGGCCTCAGGCAATCTTTCCACCACAGCCTCTCGAAGTGTTGGGATTACAGGTGTGAGCCACCATGCTCAGGCTCTAATTCTTTTTTATATCCACTGCCCAAATTATAAGCTTAAGCAAATGGGTATATGGATCCAATTTTCTTAATGCTAATCCTTCCTTACTAAACACTGTATTTTTAGACTCTTCCCTTCTCTCTAGTCTGTCAAGAACTTCTAGAATAGCAGTTTCTTTTCCACCTTAACATACACTCTATCCCTTCTAGTTTCTTGTTGTCTGCAAACCTGATAAACCCATCCCTCGGTATAGTCATCCAAGTCAGTCATTAAAAGGTTGAACAGGACAGCACTGAGGTCCCTAAGACCCCTGACATACATCTCTAGCATCTACCCTAAGAGACATGAGTCCATTATTTAATGCTCCGTGGCTTCCCTCTCTCAGTGAGCTATGAGTCCAACCTGATTTGCCCTATCCACAAGAATATCACTGGGTCTACATCAAACCCCTTGCTAAATTTCAGATACAGTATGCTCACCGATATTCTCTAATCACCTAGTGGGCAAAAGAAGAATTTTTTTTAATGGGAAGAGAACAGATAAAAAGGAAGAACAATGAAGTAAGGACAGGTCATTACATAGCTTCCAAAATAAACCAGAATTCTTGAATAAATGCTAGGTATACTTAAAAAAAAATCACTCTTTGGGGAGGTGAAAATCACATCACTGTTTATAAGAAATGTTGTCTTTCAGGCAAATGATTTAATCCTATGAACTTTTATACACTATACCTTTGGCCACAGTATAGATGAACACAATTAGCAAATTGAATCTTTGGAACCTGTTTGCTATTGTTAAAGCTAAGCAACTTTTTTTTTTTTTTCAACTAAAAGCTTCTGCCTTTAATACACTCGCTGGTGGTTATTAAAAAATGGAAATGTTTTTGAATTTCCAGAAGTATATTTGAACTCTGTAAAGTATACAGTTCTCATGAGGGAGTCCGATTGAAATCATATTTTAAAAAGCTATTATATGTGACTAAGGCATAAAGATGACACAAATTAACATTCAGCACTTGGAAGTGAAATAAAAACAAAAAGATAATTCATGAATATGGTAATGACTGTTCTCTGGCACAAAATCTGAAAGCACTTTATGCATTTTAAGTGAACTTCAAATTTTAAGTAAACTTCCAGAGTATCATTGTCAAGTTTTAGAACTATCACCCAGCAAGTCATTTTACAGACACAATCTGGGATTTATGACAATTTGGCAAACACTACATTATAGTTGATTTTCTTCCCACTAAGGAGAAAAGTTTAGCCCAACAACAGTACCAACAAGTTTATGTGAAGCATGTACAACTTGAAGAAAATAAACCATCAGCACTTTAGACCTATTCACATGACTAGAGAAGTGTTGTTATATGCTACATGCATTAAAGTCAAGTCTTTACTCTCCATACATTTTGAACCCAGCAGATGTTAGATTTACCTTGAAAGCAACAAAGAAGGATTTATTGTGAAATACTCTAAGTTTGTTGCCCTTCAGTATATTCCCAAATTTCGCTGACGAGCTCAACTTTTACTTGCTAATACATGTCTTTTAAAAAAAAAAAAAAAAAAAAAGCAAACTGCTTTAGTTTTATTTCAGCGCTAAGGTAATTAAAGCACAATACTTCACCCTGTCTTCCAACATATATGAAAGTTGAAAAGTTTTTACTTTATTCAGTGAAGGTGGCTTCAATGTCACTGCTGATCAAGAGGGGACTTCCATCCTATCATGCTGTGTTCTATCTGCTGTAATTCTCTGCCTGATTTCCAGACTTAGAGTTTTGGGAATTAGAGAATATTCACTTCCAGGGCAATTCCCAGCCCTCCACATTGCTTACCTGAATATATTTCCGCTGAGTTTCGTCATTTAAAACATGTGCAACATGCTTGGAAAAAATCTTTTCTCTGCCAGTTCTAGCATGGATACCAACCATAGTGACACCGATGGGCCAAGGCGCATTTCCAATGGCCATCTGAAGATAAGCATCATTTGCCTGAAAGGAAAGTGTAAGAAGAAATCAGAAAGGCAGAAATGTATTGGCTCAAATTCTTATTGAAAGTATTTCACAGCCCTTTATGATGTAATTTTCATCCACCTTTTGGGCACATCGAAAATATTACCACTACTGTTATTCAAACAAAACAGATTAAAATATAGGGTAACAGACTGCCCTGCCCAGGACCACCAATGTCCATGGAAAAACAGAAACCAAAGGTAGGTTATGAGTAAAAAAAAAAAGGCAAACATTCCTTTGCAACCTTTGTGTGCTGGAAATTAATACATCTCAGATCTGGAATTACCAAGTAGGCACTTCGATGCACTGATGAAAATTCTAGTTTTGGTCTCCTTAGTCTTCTCCATAGGTGGTCATGTAGAAGACAGGGGCTAAGTAGTTTTTTATCATCCAACCCTATACAATATCCACTCCCTACACAGCATCGTGGCTCCCCGAAGGCAGTGGGGGCTCGGTATGTGGGGACCACCACACCAGGTCTATAACATGTGTAAACAGAGAGGAAACACTGGCCCTCCAGTCGAATAGCTGAAAGATGAGATCGCTCCACTTTGCCCCTCACCCAACCTCCCACCTGCCAAGAACCTTTAAAGAAGAGCCCCCAAAAAATGAAGATAGAAACCAATGAAGACAAATGGCTCTTTTTCCTAACCAAGCTGGCTAGCTGTGAGGAAGAACGAGAAACACAGAAAGCAAATAAATTCTAAAAGACCTCCAGGTTTAAGAGAAGCTTATAAAGCCAGGCCTCAAGGAGATTTTAATTTTAAAAAATCAGACACCTATGAGATTGATAGGCAGAGTTAATATTTTTTTAAATCAGATACTACAGACAGGATAGCTGGAAGATCATTTTCTACCCTAAAGATAAATTTGAACTTGCTCTGCTCAAAGGATTTTATAAAGCTTAATTTTAAAAGGGCATATGTACATTTTTATCACTAATTTTCATGTGTATAAATTTTAACATTGGATCTTAACTGATAAAAATTTCAATATTTAGTTTCCCCCAAATTCCAAAGAAATTGTCTAAACAGGTTATTAAAGCTTCTTGGTTCTTTCTGTAGTTTATACGAAACAAGCTTGCACTTGCACTTAGTTCTGATATGTGATCACAAGAAAAGGCAGTAAGAAGAAAGGCATCCATTCTAGCAGGCAGTGATGTGCATTCTTCCTGCAGTGACAGTGACCTTATCCATCCACGCCAATGCAACCATCCTAAGTAAGAATCATGCAACTGACAGAAACTAAGAAGAAATTTATAACTGTAAGGCAAAAATATTTCCTTTAAGAAAACTGGCTGGCTCTTAAAAAGAGTAAAATCACTGCAGGAACCTCATTAGACTAAGGCTCTAATCAAGTAAATCATGCGGTCACTCGGGAACACCAGAAGTCCCCTGTTACGTGAGTACACAGATACAGCACCGAATAAGCAATGTCATTCCGAGTTCCCTACCGCTCTGGCACTGTCAGTGGGGTTGCTGCACTGAAATGCTCTACTCCTAGTGTCTTGGGAGGCACAGCCACAAGAAGCCTCCCTCAAACTCTGTCCTTTCCTCATCTCCACTACTGGTGCATTGGGCCCTTCTCTTCTTGTTCCCCTGTACCAACTGACAGTCCTCCTCTCACCCCTTTCTAAACTCTACCTCAGGGAGCCCTGGACACCAGCACCCTTCCCCTCACCACCACCTCCCAGAGCCCATTCAGGAGTATAGACATTGGGGCGAGGGAGGGGAGTCTTCCCCTGCACGGGTCTGCAGCACTGAAATGGGAGAGATGAGTCCTGGAAGCCTTGCTTGAACCATTTCCCCAGAGAAACAATTACAAAGAGTGGTTAAATTCCACTGTACCATCAGTACAACACTTCAGCTATATTACAGATTAAAGGGGCTTTTATAGCCATCCTGGGAAACTCATCTACGTTGAGTTTTTATGGGAAAAACATAATCAGCCATTTACAAAACTTTGAAATTCAATCCCATTCATAAAATGAACGCTGCCTATATACAGTTCATGCTCCAAAGAACCTTTAGGCCTACTTTCAAAATGACTAACAGCATACAGATGAGGTCTGTATTTCCTTAGTCAGGTTTGTTATTCAATACCTAACAGTAAAGCTGGCAAATACAACAGAAAATAAAACGCTTTTTACTACTAACTCATCTCATATTTATTCTTAAATCTACTATGTAAAATCCTCCTATCCCAAATGAGCATTATATTATGTACATAACCTAGATATACTCTTAACAATTTCAAAGAACAGCATGGGAATGTACCTTCACATATTCTCTCTGCAACATGAATTTAATAATATCCGTTATTGATTCTTTAATATCAGCAGGAAGATTCTGAAAAAAAAAAATAAGAAATTTTGGAAGCTACTATGTATAGTGAAAAAACAGAATGCATTTATTCTCAATTTATACTGTATTTTTTAAGTCAGTTAAAAAAAGTATTTTCCAAGAAACCTCACCCTTTTCCGTAGCTTTCTGAAAAGTGGTCTGAGGTAGGACTCGGTCTGTTTCTGGGTCGCACTGTTCAGTTTACCCTGCACACTGCGTTTCACATAATCTTCTCTGGCATTCAATTCTTTAGCCCAAACGCCAAGAAGAAACTGTTGAAAGGATGGGTAAGTTTAGACTACAATGCCACCCAGTGGTTCAGTAAATTTAAATGCTCTCTAGCACACAAAGACAGAATACAATCATCCTTAAAGTAAATGTCTTGATTAAAATGCCACCAAACAATATAGAATAAGCTAGTTCTGCTTATTCATCATGATAATGCTTTGAAGTAGTACCTTTGGCAAGTCACTAATTTCCCTAGTCTACATCTCTTCCCAGCTCAAGGTAATTTCCTTCCCTCAAAAAAGAACTATCAAGTTTCACAGTTAACTATTTGACAGGAAATAAACTTGTATTTGTATTTGTATTACATACATAAAATTCAACAAGTTACAAGTTACAAAAAAACTGGACTTTCTACATATGCTGTAGAGACCATGATTAAGTTTAAAAACCACTCAAGCACCTGACTAAAGGAGAGGAAGGAGAAAGAGAAACAGAAATACAGAAGCCAAGACCCAGCATTCCCACCTCCACCCCTAGAGAACTACCTCGTGGCCCTCGGGTTTAACTGTATAAAGGGCACCCTTTCTGGGAGTAGGAAACAGAGAAGCCTGACGAGGATGTTTTCCTCTAGGCACATCATCTATGCATATCCTATAAAAGAAGAGGCCATCATTCAAAGAGGAAATTCTAGTTCATACTAGTTCCTATGCCCTATCGAGTTCCATGCCGTATCCTCAATATATTCAGAATCTTGATGACTAATATGTTGTATCTAAACTGTACATACAAGAAAAAGCATTCATTGCATGTAAATCTCTTGGTCTGAACACAGTTTGTGAATAAACATTAAAATATCTGGGATTTGTTCACACTCTACCTAGACCACTAAAGAGAGAAATGTTGAGAAGAAAGTTGGAATCAGCAAGTCATAGCAAAAACAGGCAGTTATCTGTAGAAATGAAGAAATGCACACTCTCTGAAAGGTTACAAAAAAAAACTAAACAATTAGCTGGGCGTAGTGGTACATGCCCTACTACTCGGGAGGTTGATGAGCCCAGGATTTCAAGGTTACAGCGAGTTATGATGACACCACTGCACTCCAGTATGGGCACCAGAGAAAGACCCTTTCGCAAGGAAAAAAAAAAAAAAAAGCTAGACCCCTCTTCTTCCTTAGGTTATCTAAAAAAAATAAGAAATTCAGCTGGACACTGTGGTTCACACCTGTAATCCCAGGACTTTGGGAGGCCAAGGCAGGGAGATCACTTGTGGTCAGGAGTTCAAGACCAGTCTGGCCAATAGGGTGAAACCCTGTCTCTACTGAAAAAAACATATATATATACATACAAAAATTAGTCAGGTGTGGTGGCATGCTACTCGGGAGGCTGAGGCAGGAGAATTGCTTGAATTCGGGGAGCAGTGGTTGCAGCAAGCCGAGATTGTGCCACTGCATTCCAGCCTGGGCAACAGAGCAAGATTCTGTCTCAAGAAAAAAATAAGAAACTCTACCAACTTCTTATTAATTCTGCTGTTGTGATTCTTTTCTATGTGTTTACATTAATGAGCCAGCTTTAAAAAACATGCCACAAGAAAAGTAGGCCAGGCACAGTGGCTCACACCTGTAATCCCAACACTTTGGGAGGCTGAGGTGGGTGGACCTCCTGAGGTCAGGAGTTCAAGACCAGCGTGGCCAACATGGTGAAACCCCATCTCTACTAAAAATACAAAAATTAGCCGAGCATGGTGGTGGGCGCCTGTAATCCCAGCTACTCAGGCGACTGAGGCAGGAGAATCACTTGAACCCAGGAGGTGGAGGTTGCAGTGAGCTGAGATTACTCTATTGCACTCCAGCTTGGGAGACAAGAGTGAGACTCTGTGTTAAAAAAAAAAAAAAAAAAAGCCACAAGTAAATATGCATTTTCTCTCACTAACTGCTATATCTAGTGCATAGCGATATCATAAACATCATGTATGTGCGAGAAATGTGTATTGAGGTTTTCCCGTTCCAGCCTTTAACCCTTGGTAATCCAAAAATATAAGAATAGTTCGTAAGGATCCAAGGCATCCTCCTCCCCTGGCCTAAGACACGCACCTTGAGGAATTTGGTGATGATGTCCATGTCTTTATGATCATCGCCTTTCCCTAAGGACTCTCCCAGCGCCTGAAGAAAAACAAACAATACTTCTGTTCATTAATACAAAGCAACAACTACACATATATATTACCAACACCAGTCTAAACATGGCTGTTGGTCACACATGCTGTTCAATTTTTACTTAAAAACCTGATGGAATTTCTAGATAAGAAATCAAAACCAAAAAACATGGATTTGCCACTTAAACTTGGAGAGCATGTTATCTTTTATGAAAAGTCAAGAGGTGGTAATGAATGTGAGATTTCTTTTCGGGTGGGGGAACAAAAATGTTCTAAAATTAGATTGTGATGATGGTTGCACCACCATGTGAATATACTAAAAACCACTGATTTGTATATGTTGCATTGGTCAATTGTATGGTATGTCAATATCTCAATAAAGCTGTTTTTTAAAAATAAATAAATACACCAATGGGGGGAAAAGCACACAACTGGTTGCCCATACCAATTATTTTAGTAAAATTTAGGGACCATAGACAGGTATTGGAGGAAGGAGGGGATTAAAATGACATCTTCCTCAACTATGATCTCATTCAGAGGGACAGCTACACGTGCAAGAGCCAGGAATTAAAGGAAACATAAAAATAACAGTTTATGTTTCCTTAAGCATTAAGAACTGTAACCCATATTTATTTTACATGTTAGACACTTACATGATACAAAATTGCTTTTTCATTAAGATTATACATTAACACTCCACAAGCAGCACTGTGGCAAAAATTAGACAGCAAGATATTGCCAAGCATTAGCAGGGCTTGAAAGACACGAGGGCCTCACACTGCTGGGTGTAGACTAGGACAGCCATTCCAGAGAGCAACTTGGCAGTACTTCGACAAGTTAAATATACATATATAAATCCCACAGTCCCATTTTGTTAGGCCATCATGGTTATGCACAAGACTGTTCATCAGAAAGCTGTCTGTGGTAGGAGGGAGCTGGGAACAATCTAGCTGTCCATCATTACAGGAGAACAAAAAGTCAAATGCAGTGAATGGCATAACACATGGAATCCTATGTAGCAATTAAAAGCAAAGGATTCAATGTACATATAGCATCAAGGATGGCTCTTAAAAACATAGCGCTAAATGAAAAAAAGACAAGTAAAAAACAGAATAAAGAATGTCACAGCATAACATCATTTCTGTAAATCAAAAATACATGCTCACAAAACACTGCAGGTCACAAAAGCAGCAACAAACAGAAGGATGTGCATCCAACATATTAGAATGGGTTCCTTTTGAAGGCAGGAAGTAGGGGAATGTGAGTGGAGGATGAGAAAAAGGGGAGTAAATAAATAAAAGCAGGGAGTAAATAAACAAAGACCAAAGATGACAGTGTGCTCTGCACTCAACAATCTGCCCGACTCGGCCATCTGCTCCACAGGAAAGAAGAGTGCCAGCGATGTGCTGGGCTTGGTATAGAGATTACCTCTAACTCTTCAATTGTGGTATTTTCCTCATGAACTTTCAGATCATTCTGTGTGTCTTCCTCTCCAGGCTCCTGACCACCGACGATTTCATTGAGGTACTGCTGATCAATCTTGTCCAAGGCTGCTTTCAGATCATTCCTCAATCCCTAAGAAAAGTAAAAAAGGAAGAACAACTGTTACAAAATTTCACTGTTGTTTCACCTTTGATTTTTCATTAATAACTGCAAGTATTTTTCCCCCCACAAGAAGTTAAGAGTTCAGCAAAAGCAGGAACTCAAATGACATCAATTTATCACACAAGTATCATTACTGTTCGTTTAAAGTTAATTCTTATGGACATATTTAAATTAAAACAATGCATGAACAATGGCCAGTCTGCTGGTCAGAAAAAAAATACACGTGAGTGACGAATCCAAATAAGAATCTTCATAAATGCTGTAATTTTCTAATGAGGCTTAGTGAAAGTGGCAGGTCTCCATTAGAGTCCCCAAGCCATTTGCCCAGCTCATTTACAATGTCTAACCTCAACTACCGTGAACTCCCAAAACATTCAGAAATGTCAGTGTAATAAAATTGGTGCCTCATCTATATCCCAGGTTCTCAGCTATGTTTCTAGCAAACCAGCAAATTCACATTTTATGCACGTATGGTTCATGACCATTTAATGAAAAATGGAAGCCTCATCTTTCTAAAAATGAATGAGAATCAGCTGCAAGGTTTAAGAGCCAAGGAAACATGGCCGTGAGGCGGCTATAGGGTAGGTTGAGAGTGAAGGCTATCTGGGTTCAAATCCTTGCCACATACTATTAAACAGCTCTTCAACAGTTTGCTTAACCCCTGTATGCCTCAGTAGCCTCACCTACAGAATAGGAGTAACGGCACCATCTACTATGTAGGGCTGTCATGAGGATGCTATTTTTTATTTCAGTGAACAGTTACTATGTGATGAGGCTGTTCCAGAACCTCGCAAACATCAACTCAAATAAGTAAACTAAGAAATGGATGATGTGCTTTTAACAGTTACTGGAGCACAGTGCACATTCAACCAATGTTAACTCCTAACGTTCTTACACGGAAAGCATCTGATCATTGTCTACTGTCCCTTCATAAACACAGAAGAGAAACATTCAACTCAAAACACTTATAATTTCTCAAGCACTGACTGATCACCTGCTGTGTATAAAGTATGACGCCAGGCGTTCCCAGAGGTCACCTCGTTGAATTCTCAGCGCATCCCGGTGAGCCAAGTATCACTGCCTCTGTTTTACCAATGAGGATTCCAAGGCTCAAACAGATTAAAAGACTTGCCAACGGTCACATAATTGATGATTATAATCCAGGAATGGAATCCAGACCTTGTGCTCCTGTGCTTTCTCCTCAAAACCTCTAGATGCACGGCACAAGACTTGGCATACAAAGGTAAAACAGCCTTTGCCCACCAGGAAGAAATAAATATGCACACAACTCTAATAATAGTAAAAAAACAGTAAGTACCCTAACAAAGGTTTACTCATAGGCGCATGGAGAAGGAAAGAATTAATTCTGACTGGGATCAAAAATAGATTCCGAGAAAAGATGTGGTCATTGAATTGCCTGTGAAAGTATAAAAACAAGATTTCAACCAGAGCATACAAGACAGAAACACAGCAAGCAAAGGAAAAATGATCATTACAGACACAGCGGACTGAAGGCAACTGCTAGTGTTGTGGGGCTGGAATGGCAATGCTGGGAAGTGAAGCAGGAAAGTGGTTTGGCAACGAAGAAAGCAGTGAGACAGCCCAGGCTAGCAAAGAGGGAGCAGGTCGGGGAGCGGGCCTGGCCAGCCCCAGCTATTCCCGCCATTCAACTGAGATGCCAGGAAAGGGGCAGGATATCAGCTTAGAAGACCAGTCCAGGAGAGGCCTCAGATGACTTCAGCCACAGCCTTCATCTCCCTGCAATCACAAGAAAGACCCCAAGCAAGATACTGCCCAATCCAGCCCAATCAAACCACAGAACTGGTAATTAAGACAATAAGAAATTATCTTAAGCTACCAGGTTTCAGGGTGGCTTGTTAGTCACCAAAAACAGATTCTGTAATAATAAATTCTTTACAATAAACAAACACTAGAAAGTTTTGGAGTAGTCTGTTACATAGTCATAGATAACCACACCTGTTTCTCAATAATTCAGAAAGCAAGTAGATAAAAAGTTAGCAAGGCCACAGAAGATCTGCACAACACTATCATCATTGGCATTTGTAGAACTGTATCATGAAAGCAAAACAATACTTTTTTCAAGAGCCTGTGGAATAAACCATATGCTAAGCCATAAAACAAGATCAGAGCCTTAAATGTAAAAGCAAAAACTATAATACTAAGCTTCTAGAAGAAAATAAAGAATATCTATTTGAAACCTTGGGATAGGCAAAGATTTCTTAAGCAGGACACAAAAAGCAATGACCATAAAAGGAAAAATCAATAAATTGGACTTCATCAAAATAAAAAACTTCTGGGCCGGGCACTTTGGGAGGCCAAGGCGGGAGGATCCCTTGAGTCCAGGAGTTCAAGATCAGCCTGGGCAACATGAAGCGGCCCCACCTCTACACAAGTTAAAAAATCAGCCGGGCTTAGTGGCGCACACCTGTGGTCTCAGGTACTTGGAAGGCTGAGGTGGGAGATCGCTTAAGCCCAGGAGCTAGAGGCTGCAATGAGCCATGACCATGCTGAACTCCAGCCTGGGTGAGAGTGAGACCCTGACTCAAAAAGCATGTGTGCGTACACACACACACACACACACACACACACACACCCTTCTGTTCAGCAAAAGATTCAATTAAGAGAACAGGTAAGCCATAAACTACAAAAAACTAGTCACGAAAAATATTCGTATATCTGACAAAGAACTTCTATCCAGAATATATAAAGAATTCCTATAATCCATTAACAAAAAGCATGTGTGTGTATATACACACACACACACACACACACACACACACACACACACACACCCCCTTCTGTTCAGCAAAAGATTCAATTAAGAGAACAGGTAAGCCATAAACTACAAAAAACTAGTCACGAAAAACATTCGTGGCCGGGTGCGGTGGCTCAAGCCTGTAATCCCAGCACTTTGGGAGGCCGAGATGGGCGGATCACGAGGTCAGGAGATCAAGACCATCCTGGCTAACACAGTGAAACCCCGTCTCTACTAAAAAATACAAAAAAATAGCCGGGCGAGGTGACGGGCGCCTGTAGTCCCAGCTATAGGGAGGCTGAGGCAGGAGAATGGCGCAAACCCGGGAGGCGGAGCTTGCAGTGAGCTGAGATCCATCCACTGCACTCCAGCCTGGGCGACAGCGCGAGACTCCCTCTCAAAAAAAAAAAAAAAGAAAAAAGAAAAATATTCGTATATCTGACAAAGAACTTCTATCCAGAATATATAAAGAATTCCTATAATCCATTAACAAAAAGACAAGTTTATTTTTAAAATGAACAAAAGGCGCTTGTAATCCCAGCTACTTGGGAGGCTGAGGTGGGAAGACTGCTTAAGCCCAGGAGGTTGCGGCTGCCATGAGCCATGATTATGCCACTGCATTCCAGCAGTGACAGAGTGAGACCCTGCCTCAAAAATAAATAAATAAGGAGAGACTTCAATAGACACTACACAAATGAAGACAAGTCTATGAAAAGATGCTCCTCATCTTTAGTCATCAGGCAATGTGATTAAAGCCACAATGAGCTACTACCAGATACACAAGAGAATGGTTAAAATTAAAAAGACTAACAATACCACATGCTGGGGTTTGGAAATGACTGGCAATTCTTATGAAGTTAAGCATACATCTACTCTTACTATCCAGCAATTCTACTTCTAGGTATCTCCCCAAGAGTCGTAACATATTTACCCAAGAAAAATAACATAGTTCCAAAAAAAGATTTGCATAAGAATGGTCTAGCAGTTTTATTCCTTTTTTTTTTTTTTTTTTTTTGAGATAGAGTCTCGCTCTGTCGCCAGGCTGGAGTGCAATGGCGCAATCTCAGTTCACTGCAACCACCATCCTCGTGGGTTCAAGTGATTCTCTTGCCTCAGCATCCCGAGTAGCTGGGACTATAGGTACACGCCACTACACCCAGATAATTTTTGTATTTTTAGTAGAGGCGGGGTTTCACCATGTTGGCCAGGATGGTCTCGATCTCTTGACCTTGTGATCCACCCACCTCGGCCTCCCACAGTGCTGGGATTATAGGCGTGTGCCACCGCGCCCAGTCAGCAGTTTTATTTCTAATAGCCCAAAGCTGGAAACAAAGTTTGATATATTCATACAACTGAGTATCACTGGAAAATGAAAAGGAAACTAGTGGTATCTGCAATAACATGGATGAACCTAAACTGTTATGCTGAGCATAAGGAGCCAGACACACAATCTATGAGTCTATCTGTATGAAATATGAGAACAAGCAAAATTTATCCATGATGCCAAAATTCAAATGGTGGCTGCCCAGGAGGGGACGAGGAGAAATATGGGGATTGGCTGAGAAGGGGTACTGGGGAAATTTCCTTTTTTCCTTTTTTCTCAACTTTTAAGTTCAGGGGTACAGGTGCAAGATGAACAGGTTTGTTACATAGGGAAATGTGTGTCATGGTGGTTTACTGCACAGATCGTCCCATCACCCAGGTATTAAGCCTAGCATCCATTCGCTATTGTTCCTGATGCTTTCGGGGGAATTTCTTTGGTGACAAAATTGTTCTATTTCTTTATAAGGGCAGTGGTTATATGCTTGTATGTATTTGTCAAAATGCATTAAATGTTATACTTAAGATATGTGCTTTTCAAAAAATTAATGAAAACTTCCATTCAGCAGCAATAATCTGCCCACTTTATTTTCCCATTGTTGCCTACAATAATGCAATTAGTCAAACTCTATTCTAGTGAATGCAGTACAGTCGTATTTTTCTAGCTTTGTTCTGTCCTCTTACCTTGTTAACTTCTGGTGTGAGGATCTCTATTTTCCTTAAACGCTGAAAAGCATCATAATCAGTTTCTCCAAATAGTCTGATTGGTTCTCCTCTTTCTCTCAATCTTCTGATTACCTACAAAGTGAAACAGATACCCAGTAAATTATTTAACTTTTTTTTTTTTTTTTTGAGACAGTCTCACTTTACCACCCAGACTGGAGTGCGGTGGCATAATCTTGGCTCACTGCAACCTCCACCTCTCGGGTTCAAGCAATTCTCCTGCCTCAGCCTCCCGAGTATCTGGGACTACAGGCACACGCCAGCACACCCAGCTTATTTTTGTATTTTTAGTAGAAACGGGGTTTCACCATGTTGGCCAGGATGGTCTCAATCTCCTGCCCTTGTGATCCACCTGCCTCGGGCTCCCAAAGTGCTGGGATTACAGGCATGTGCTACTGTATCCAGCTATTTAACTTTTGAGAGAGGAAAAAACTAAACATCTCAAAAACAATTTGTATATTATACCTTAAAAGCCAAGCCTGGTGTTTAACAAAGCTAATTACCCAAATACATGCTTCTGTGTAAAGTATAAATTCCTTCGAATATTTTAAATCATTTCAATTAAGCTAAACAAAGTTGTTTCCAAATCAAACAGAAAATCAAGTACTTTAGTTAAAAATCTATTTTGACTCAAAAGTCACTGTTATTAATTTTATTACCAAATAGCTCCTAGAAAGCGATCTGACCTCTGACTCTACAATTCAAGTCTAAAGAAAGCCCCTCATATAAACCACCTGCCCCTCATATAAACCAACTCTTCCACTGCGAGATTAAAACAAAATTCTTTTTTATAAGAAAAGGGGCATGTATGTAGCCCTCATTTTACATCATTGTAACTGTTCTTAGTCTTCTTTTAAAAACAATGGAAAGACAAATAGTAATCCCTACGCCAGCATATTCTTGGTGATCAAACACTTGTTTTGAAATGTAGATGCAAAAAGTAAGCTGTTTATTCTTTAATTTTCCATGAATAGATATACTGTATTATCATCACACCTTAAGTAACCAGGAAGTTTAAGTCGTTTAGCTCAGTGCTTCGATAGGACCAATCTGTGCAGCAGGACACACAGGAAAACACTAAGATAGGAGGGAATGACAGCATTTATAGAGGAAGGAAAATCAAATCTGAAGCCAGGTGATAACTACCATAATGGAGAGTCCGCATTGTAATACCACCATCAAACCAAAAACTTCTCCCTCAGAAAAGAGAGAGTTATAATCTGCATATGCAGAGCTTTTAAGATGCTGAAAACCTATTTCCAAACTTGGGTGATGGTTATATGAATATTTATTTTGTAATTATTCATAATGATTCATACATGTGTAACATATATTGCCCTAATGTGTTTCATACACTTTATATACATGCTATATGTCATTTTAAAAAGGAAGAAAGAAACAGAAAATGTAATAAAGATTAGTCCAAATTTTTTTTAAAAGCAGTAATAAGAAACGCCAAGAGCTTTACCTGGGAGCATAAACAGCATCACACCCAAAATCCATTGGGAGGGCTCTCACTGGATTAACAGAAGTTTGATATTAAAACAAATTTAACAGGTCATCTAGCACTATCTCCAATCAATGCAGAAATGACCTCACAAACACCCTTGTCAGGTCCTGTCTGACAAACGACACGAATCACATTTCTTCGTGAAACATCCCATCCCATTGTTTGGACAGGTATGTTTTGCTTCTCAAAACTGATACCTACTTCCCTCAAACTTCTACCCATTTATCCCAGTTCCACTTTATGAAACTACAGAGAATATTCCGATTTTCCAAAATCAGAGCTACTTTCATTGGATTTCTAAAGATATCTCTAGTAATTCTTCTCTCCAGCCTCAGTATTCTCAATTCCTTCACCTCATCTTCACATGATGGTTTCTAGAGTCAGTCATCATTCCCCTGAAAGTTTCCTCTTGTGCAATGTCTGTCATAAGCATGTGGTAATGTAGAACTAAAAAATAATACTGCAAACATGTCAACCTGTGAGAAGGACAGAATACATAAGCCTTTGATCTAGACACTGCATTTCTATGACTTACATTCAGCCCTATCCACAACTACAGAGGTAGAACAGGAAGAGACTACTCAGGACTCAAAGATGAAAGATGACCCTAAGTCAGTCAAAGACAAAAAGAACCTAAACAGAAAAAAAGAAAGGGAATGTGAGCTAGTTATTACTGCAAAACACTGCTTAAGATTGGGTGCTATACCTTAGGCCACGTTGTGAGGAGTGCATAATATTTTTCTGGTTATCAGTTTAAATAGCTAACTCTCATCTATCTGGAATTATATAACAATGGTTCTGTCTAAAGGCAAGGTAATAAACTACCTGACTTCAAAGTTTCTTTCGGTGCAAGAATTCTATTATTCAAATTTTTTAAATAAAGAAGCTGAAATACACCACCACCACCTCCCCACAAAAATGACACAGAGACTAAAGGGACATCACTGAAAGAACTTAAGCCTCTGAGTCCTCTTTTACTATTTCAATACATGCTCCCTGAGCAAAGGCAGGAACTTCTTCCCCACATCATGTCTAGTACTTAACTGATGTACCACTATTAATCAGTAACAATGGTTTAATAATGATGGATCTCACAAAAAGAACAACTTCTTAAAACTACTTCGTCTTTTAACTCAAGCTTTTCAATGTTTAAAGATAAAGTAAATTCTACGCCAGGTGCGGTGGCCCTTGCCGGTAATCCCAGCACTTTCGGAGGTGGAGGTGAGCAGATCACCTGAGTCAGGAGTTCAAGACCAGCCCGGCCAACATGGCAAAACCTCGTCTCTACCAAAAATACAAAAATTAGCCAGGCCTGGTGGCACATACCGGTAGTCCCAGCTACTCAGGAGGCTTAGGCTTGAGAATCTCTTGAACCCAGGAGGTGGAGGTTGCAGTGAGCCTAGATCATGCCAGTGCACTCCAGCCTGGGAGACACAGCGAAACTTTGTCTTGAAAAATCAAAAAGTAACAGAATTCTAAAAAATATAAGTGACATGAAATTTCAAGTATTTTTCTGACTATGAAGTTAATACATGCTCACTTAAGATACAAAATTAAAATATAAAGAAAATTATATTTTTTATATCTAAAGAATGAGTTCATAAAGGTAGTGGGAAAAAAACATTAACATATCTTTTTTTTAACTCTTAGGAATAGAGGAAACCTTTCTAAGCATGATGCCCAAGACAAAAAAAAAAAAAAACACCATAATGAAAAAGACTGATGTCACAGCATAAAAATGTAAAACTTCTGCATGGCAAAAAACAAATGATACACTGATAAATATATATATATGCTATGTATATCTGATACATACACACTATGAACACAGGTTAACACCCTTAACATATAAACATGTTGATCTGCAAATCAGTAAAGACAAATTTCACAATATAAAAACAGCAATTCCACAAACGAAGAGACATTAATGACCACTGAACATGTGACAACATGTTCAATTCTAATCATCACTAACAGAAAGTTTCACGTTAACACAAGGTACCTATTTCACCCATCAGTTTGGCAAAAATTTAAAGGAATAATACTGCTTTCAGATTGGCAAGGCTGCAACATTTTTAAAATAAACAGTTGACAGAAATGCTAGGAAGTCTGATATACTTACAGTTGGAATGTAAATTGGCACAGCTTCTTTGTAGGACAATTCCACACACCATCGAAAATTACATAGACACACTCTCTGACCAGAAATTCTTTTCCTAGGAAATTACCCTACTGATAAACTCATACAAATATCAAGACATATGTATAAGGAAGTTCACCTCAGCACTGTATGTAAAGGCAAACAACTGGAAGTAATTTATCAGTAAAGAGCTAATTGTAATAAATTGCAGAACTACTACTAAAAACAACACCTAAATTTGTTGAGTAACTCATGATTAAGTACTGTTCTCTTCATGTATTACCTTATTTTATCATGAAAGTCTCCTGAGGTAGACCCAATTGTTACCCTCATTCAGACATATGGAAATCCAGAAACAGACCAGGTAACCTGCCAAAACCACGTTTACTGTGAAAAATGTTCATACACACACACCCCCCAACATAAAATGGCCTTCAAAATGTATTTTTAAGTGAAAAGACTAAGGTACAAATGCATGTAATCTCATTTGTGTGAAAGGGGAAAAAAGGTATACACATACACACTGATGCTTGTACAAGTGAAGAAATGCGTAGGAGAAGGACTGATGGGGGCAGAGGGGAAGTGGGGGAAAATGGAAGATAAGAAAAAGGGAAGAAATGTTTGTTTTACAGCCTTCTGTATTCATTTGATTTCGTTATATCACATGAATGTCTTTAAATTGCATGATTTTTTTAAGTAAAATAATAGTTGATACTGATCAAGGTATAGACGGACACTATAAACACCACAGCTAGGAGTATAAAGTGGCACAACATGGCTAATACCTACAGAGCTATCTGGTAATATGTATCAAGTCTTAAAAATATACATAGTCTTAAAACATATATATATACACACACACACACACATAGTCTTTGACCTAAAAATCATGCTTCTAGAAATGTTTCCAAAGGAAATAATCACACATTATAATGTATGCAATGATGTCTACATAGCATGTTCATCTTAGTATTATTTATAATAAGTATTCTAAATGATCATCAATAGATGATTTTTTAAATATTATGGTGTGGCCAGGCGCGGGGGCTCACACCTGTAATCCCAACACTTTGGGAGACCGAGGCAGAGGATCACTTGAGGTCAGGAGTTTGAGACCAGCCTGGCCAACATGATGAAACCCCATCTCTACTAAAAACACACACAAAAAATTAGGTTGGTGTGGTGGCGCATGCTTGTAATCCGTTACTCAGGAGGCCAAGGCAGGAGAATCGCTTGAACCCTGGAGGCAGAGATTGCAGTGAACCAAGATTGCACCACCGCACTCCAGCCTGGGTGACACAGTGAGACTCTGCCTCAAAAATAAATAAATAAACAAACAAACATTATGGAGCAAACAAGCAATGGGAAATGACACACTCATTCAAAATTATGTCAATCTCCATATTTTAATCTGGAGAGATGTATTATTAAATAAGGGAAAGGGAAGTATGTTACAAAATACTATAATAATTAAAATAATTTAAGTACAAATATTTAGCATAAGTACATTTAATTACACTTATTTTTTAATATATTCATGTTTATTTTTTAAAGTTCAGAAGGATAAGCTCTAAAAAAGATAATAATATCAAGAAAAGAAGCAGTGAGTAATTTAGAACTTCATGAAGAAAACTAACTGCACAGCATTTTTAGGTAAGTCATTTTACACAGGAAAGAATGACATTTAACTTATCGGAAAAGCTGGAGATAAATGTAAATACCGTGGAGATCAGATTCTCATGAAACAATCACAAATAAACTTACCTCTTGCCTAGAAAGCGTCATAGGTAATTTTTCCTCTGCCAGTTCAAGTTCTAACACTGGATTCGATGAAGTTAATGGTTTCTGGTCCTCCTCTTTTGGCTGTATCTATATTAATAGCCAAAAGAAATGAAATTCAGCTTTAAAAATATAGTTGATATTTATCATTCTATTACCTTAGCTATTCACCGAAATTAAATATGTTTTCAACACTGAAGATTTTCTAATATTCCTCTGAGCAAAGAGCTCATAATAAACGTGCATGCTTGTAAAACAGAGTCAAACATATTCACATCAGGGGCATCACAAGTCCAGAGCATGCACAGAGGAATCAGCATCCTCGCTATAAAAGAGTGACACGACTCACGCCTGTAATCCCAGCACTTTGGGAGGCCGAGGCGGGTGGATCACGAGGTCAGGAGATCGAGACCGTCCTGCCTAACGTGGTGAAACCCTGTCTCTGCTAAAAATACAAAAAAACTAGCCAGGGGTAGTGGCGGGCGCCTGTAGTCCCAGCTACTTGGGAGGCTGAGACAGGAGAATGGCGTGAACCCGGGAGGCTGAGCTTGCAGTGAGCCAAGATCGCGCCACTGCACTCCAGCCTGGGCGATGAGCAGGACTCCATCTCAAAAAAAAAAAAAAAAAAAAAAAAAAAAAAAAAAAGAGTGAGACGACTGTCATGATTTCCAAAATCCAAATTTAACAGGGCTGAAATTTGCACTTTCTTTCTCCCCAGATTCTAAAGACTGTACTTTTTCCTGAAAAACAATCAACTTGCTCTTCTTCTTTAAATTGTCTTGCAGGGTTATTTGATTCTTGCTCAACTTCAAAGTGAAGACAAAAGAAAAGAATTTCTTTCCAACAGCAACCTGTGAAGCTTCAAGCTCTAGCTTTTCCTATCCTGCTTTTCAAAACGTATTATTCCAAGTGTATGAAAATCACTGTTGGACATACAGAAAAATTCCTAATGCTACACAGAGTTGGTCCACAAACTGAGGTACCAACCTTGTAGAAATATAAGGAAAAAAGCACCTCTCTATTAATGCCACCCAGGGAAAGAGTGGGCATTCCTGTTCATATGAACCTGTAGGAAAAACAATCTCTTCACATATTTTCTCAAATTTGTTGCTCAAGTCTCAGTTTAGGAAAACTGAATTCAGCAATTTACAAGCCCCTTTGTGGAGTCTGTAAAAAGATACTGAAATGTGGTTTCCCATCTGACCATAAGATAAATCCACAATGCTGAAAGTGGGAGTAAGATCAAAAGAACATAAAAGAAGATCAACATTAAGGAAGAAACTCACGTTAAGAAAGGCAATATGGTGAAAATTACATAATTCATGATTCTATAGCTTACAGTTCAAGCTTATGTTTACCATAACTAATTGATATTGAGGTAAAATTAAGGTAACAAACTAAGCCTTTCTATTTTCACAGGTCAAATCAGCATCAAGCCTTAAAAAATGCTAACTCATTTCTACAAAAGAATAAAAGTAATGAATACTATGTCATTACTACCAAGACGGAAATCTTTAAAAATCTTTAGAAAGAAACACCTGTGCTTTACTTTTCAAATACGTTTCAAGAAAACGTATTTCTCTAAAAATCTCAAGATTAAAAACACATTTAATTATACAATGGCAGTTAATAGCTCTGGGGAAAAGATCTAAGTCATTTCGTCAGCTGGACTCAAAGTTATAAACAATTATCTTTACAGTAATTTTTTTGCTTCAGGGCTTTCCTCTATATAAACAAACAAACAAAAAAAAGCACACTAAACAAAAGTAAAAACTGCCACTATATTAAGTTACTTTCCTACCTTATAAAATAGCTGAAAACGTTCAAATTTAGGAATCTGGGAATGCCACAAGCCAGCAGAGTAAACCTATGTAAGTGATTCTTATTCCAGACCAAGTGTGTGTAAGACAACACTGGGCAAGGCAAAAATGAGAGTTCCTTTCTGAATATCTATCTACTCAATGGTTATTAACTTAAAACTTATTTTCATTTCCTAATTAAGCAAATAAATACCTTTACGGAAAAAAATCAAAATACAAGTATAAACTTTCCCATATTTTAAAAACATGTCAGAAATATAATTACATTTTAAAATATTTTTTAAGTCACTTCTTGGTATCTTTTGAAAACTACATTTTTCTTTAATACTTGTCTTCTCCCAGCACTACAAAATCAAACCAAATGCATATACATACCATGTGCATTCCTCATGCTTCCTTCTAAAAATGCTATGCAGGATAAATCCATTTCCAGAACTTTCCCCATTACATGCACAAAAGTATTATCTTATATTGATATTTCACAAGCAAAAGGTTAATTACAAGTTTATGATTTGGCAAAAGTATTTCAATAGAACCTCTGAGCTTTGAGTTAAAAATTAAGCTAGATATAGTCTTCTTTTAAAATAATTTAAACATAACTTCTCCACCTTATACCCTTTAACCCCTCCCAATAAAACCACAACACATTATCAACTAATTTCTTCTAAAATATACAAGCAAAGCCTTCCAGACAACTCATTTGTTTCTAAGAAATATTTCAAGATGACACTTTCTATCCAATAGACTAAACAGTGTTTGAAATGTGATACCTTATTACAACAAAGGCATATAAATATATACGGCTTTATACTTTAGGCGGAGGTTCTTAAGACCCGAAAGTAAGTATTAACAATGCAAACATAAAATCGATGGCTTAAAATATTCCGGAGAAGGCAGGGAAATTACCACCACTAATATTACTGTGGTTAGATGAATAAATGTTTTGAACTCTTTCCAAATGGACTGTTTTATTGGGAGAGGTAGGGGAGAGGAGTGGTGGTGGAGTTGAAAATAAGGCAGTCTCAGATTCAGGACTTAATTTAAAAAAAAAAAAAAAAATTCAAGCTTTGATCTCAAGCCACTTCATGCCATCCACAAAAAGCCAAACCATTCCAAGCCAAAAGTCATGCATGTATTTTCCTGAATTCAAGATTTTTTTTAAAATGCAAAAACAAAAACTCATACCTCTCCAGATGGCTTCTCATTTATAGGCTAACGTATAACATTGATAAATTGAACAGAGATCAATGATTGTCATTTAACAACAGCTGTATAAATTTAAACTCAGAAATATACAATTTAACATAAAAGCAGACATTCATACCTTGTACCCACATCTTTCAAAATATGCTTCCTCTTCTTTTTTGGCGAGCTCACTACGCTTGAAATATTTTTTATTTTCCTATTCAAGAAAAAAAAATTATGTCAATAATAAATCCTTGGGCAAAAGTTCATGTCCTATAGTCAACAAGTACCTTTAGAAACCTTTTGAAAACACTCTTCAGTTTTTCAAGAATTTGATAAAATGAATATTTTTTGGTTCCAGAGATGAATACATTGATTCCCCAAACACATCACCAACCCTCCACTATGACTAAGGGCACCGATGTGTGATAAGTTCAAGTATTTTTCTTGCAGTATCAATCAGTAGGCAGGTTCATCCGCAAAGAGGAGACCAAGAATATTTTCCAAATGTTTTGATTTCTTAATGTTTGAGTTCAATGATAATTTCTTCAAATGGATTCATTATGAACCACATAAAATGGTGTATCTCAATTATTTTTTCCTAATAGAAACAAAATTATGACACATATAGACTACATTTGAAATCCCACCTAACAAGGGAATTCCAGTAGTGTAAGTTCTTTCTTGTTACCTGGAACCTTATTATATCAGTCAGTTCCTAAAATAATCTAGATATAGGGTGGTCTTGGTGAACCTTTTTATTTAAAAAAATGATTTAAGGATATTTGGGGGTTTTGTGCCTTTTTCTGGTTTTTTGTTTGTTTTGGAGACAGGGTATCTCTCTGTCACGCAGGCTGGAGTGCAGTGGCACAATCAAGGCCACAACTTCAACTCCCTGGGCTCAAATGATCCTCTCACAAGGTATTTGTTTTGATATGATTTGATGTAAAGAGACAAGCTCTAAGTCTTGTCTGTGGCTAAAAAGATGTCAGTCCTTTCCACATTATACACAAAATTATCCTTATTGTTACATCTACAGTCCATAATTTGGAGGCTTGTTGCTATCTCAGCTCTGCCTCTTGGATATTATTCCACTGATGGCTTTGTTCAAATAAAGATACTGCCCCCTACTGTATTAACAGTAATGATATAATAGTACCTCTGTACTACCTCCACACAAGTATTTAGCACCTCATAGTTCCAAAGCTCATTCACTCAGGCAGTGATCATCAATGGATGCTAAAACCTTATGAAAAAAGCTGCTGGTGACAATGGAAAGATCAGCCTGCCACCATTTGAACCCAATGTTCAAGCTTGACATCAGTAAGAGATTATGTATCACCTATGTTATACTACAGGAATTACCCAGCCATCGTCTAGGAAGTGTTCTTGTTAAATGTAGGGAACAGAAGAATTAACTAGGTGTCAATATGCCAGGAAGCAATCAGACAAGTCAAAGACATTTTACAAAACTAGCCCCAGTTTCTCCGGCAAGTCAATGGCATGGAAAAAATCGGCGAAGTTGAGAAAATGACAATGTTCTTCATTAAAAGAAACCAAGATTCATAATAAGCAAATTCAAGGATCGAACTTCATGTTGACCTGACTTGAAAAACCAACTGTAAAAGCAAATGTATGTAGGTATTTTAATTCAATTGGAAAATATATGAATGTGAGAAGAGTATTTGATAAAATTAACAAACTAATTTTAATTTTGTTGGGTGTGATCATATTTTGGTTTTAAAAGAACACGTCATTTTCTAGAGCTGCATGTTTCAGGGAAAGGATATGCAGAGGCTCATCATAAAATTTTATTTATTTTTGTGTTATGTGTAAAACTTTCAGGATAAAGTTTTTCTAAAAGTTCATCCGTTAACTCAATAAACATTTCCAGACTTATCTACCACACAACAAGCACAGCTTTACAGAAATAAAGATGAAGATATTATCTGGGGTAAGGAACCGATGGTATCATCTGAACATCAAAACTACCCTGAGTACGGTGGGGGCAAATAGTATTAACCCCTTTTTAGAGGTGAGAAAGCCGAGAATTAGGTTAGGTGACATTCCCAGAACTCAGCAAGAATGAGTAGTAGCAGCTAGAACTCTGGTCCTTAAACCCTTGGTTCTGATCTAGTCTTCCAAGCTACAGTTCTTCACTCCCAAAATATTATTTCGACATCTAAAATTGTTTTTGACTAGGTAGTATATAATTGTCATATTTCAAATAAGTTGGCAAACACACCTTGGTATCCTTTCAGAAAAGGCTGATATGTAGAAAGAAAGGAAAAAATCTCCAGGCCGGAGGCCATGGTCCAGTCTTTTTGACTATGTTACCTGTGATGACCATGTCTCAATTCCATTGAACACACCTAACAAAATCTCAAGCCTAGAACATCTCAAAATGTGGTCCACAGAGGCTCTTTCAAAGGTTTTGCAAGGTCAAATTTATTTTCATGATATACTAAGACATTATGTGCCCCTTTTTCATTGCGCTCAGATTTGCACTGACAGTCCAAAAGCAACATGGGAGGAGGATTTGGGAAGGCAGACTACTGGCATCAGCATATATAAAGGCAATGCCTTCAAACTGTACCAGTAGTCACTGTATTCTTCACCAACATGCACTTGCAAGAAAATAAAGTCTAGTTTCTCTTAAGAACGTCCTTGACAAAGTGTAATTTTCCTAAATCTCAACCTTTGAGTACACAGCCTTTTAATAATCAGCATGAAAAAATAAAATGTATAAAGCACTTCTGTTACTTACTAAAGTAGAATGGTTTTCTCAAAGAAAAGCACTTGTGCAATCGTTTGATTAGTCAGATTTGGGTGTTTGGTAGACATTTTCTCAGAATTGAACAAAACAAGCTTAAAGTTAAAAGAAAACAATGATGGAATTTACCACCAATGATAAAATTCCAGGTGTCAACTGAGAACTGGAAAAGTGGAAAACTTGTACCCAGCACCATGAGCTATTTAATAGCTTCCCAATACTTGAAGCCTTTTCCAATGAAATCAGTGGTGATATTAATAAATGTGATTTTTAAATATTATCTAATGAAAATGTCAACATTAAGAAGATCCGCATAACTCACTGAACCATGACATTACAAAATCAAGATGTTACAAAATCACATGTAGGTAAAAAGATCCAATCGAAGAGCAAAATAGATCAGCAGGCTTTAATGGATGAAAAATTCATTGAAATGATTTCAGAATCCACATTGTAACTGCCCTTTAAGAAACCACTTGTGTAGTTTTGGTGTCGTATCAAGAAGAATATCCACAAATCTGAAAAGGCTATTAAAATACTCCTTTTCCCAACTACTTATCTGTGGATGAATTTTCTTCATGTACTTGAACAAAAACAACATACAGCAACAGATTGGAGGAAGAAATAGAATCCAACTGTCTAATATGCCAGAGATTTCTAAAACAATGTCACTTTTCTCACTAAAGTGTTTGTTTTTGCAAATATCGTCTTGTCATAAAAATATTTGTTAGCATACTATGGGTTTATTGCATTTCTACATGGAACATACATTTTTTAATTTCCTGGCTTTAATTTATAATATAGTAATTATCAATAAATGTATCCTATGTAAATAAAAGCTCTCTGGGGCTATCAATAATTGAGAATGAGACCTGAGACCAGTAAGTTTAAGTCCACTTGGCATTCTCCACGCCTACAGCATGCTCAAAACAATGCTGGCAAAAACCACTTGGGCCTCAACATTGCCTATTGGTCCTAGGGTATTCATCCATTTCATTTTCTTTCCTATTGTCTACACTGACCATTCCACTGTCTCCATTCTCATGAACTTCCCATCCTTTCATTCTCCCCTCATTTTCAGCGGATGACTAAACCATCTCACTTTACGGAAGTGACCAGTCAGGAACTCCTCCAAATTCCTCCCAACTCCAGTCCTGACCTGGATCTGCTTTGGTCCTTTCATTTCACAGAGGAACAGAAAACCCTCCTTTGTCTAGGGCAAATCCCTTCCCAATTACTCCAGACCTCAGTTCCTCAGGGACTTCTCATCATCAATGCTGTTTTCTCCTTCACATATTCATCCTTCCCCTCTCTACTGGCTCTTGACAATTATCATTTAAGTATGCTCAAGACTCTGCCCTGGGTATCATTTACAGCAGAACCACATTAAACTGTTTAATCCGCGTCCACTTCCTTACCTCTATTTCTCTTTGCAGCCCCACAGCATATGGCCATCCAGTCTGTTTCACTGAAAAAACCTCCCTGGGATCATAAATAATGTCTAAGGTACAAATCCAAAGGGACTTCTCTGACTGATCTCATTCAGTCTTCAATTTAACTGCTCATTCCTTCCTTCTTCAGTAACTGTCTTCTCTTAGCTGACAGATTCTTCTTATGTCTTCCTCACTTACTGGTTTGCTCAGATTTTCTATTTCTTGTATTTTTTTGTACTTTTTAGCCATTTACTTCACTTAGATTTTCCAATGTATTAGAACTAGTATATAGTTCTCCTTACTAATTTTACTTTCCAATGTCTCCCATATTGGCTCCTGCCATTCCTTCTGTTGGTCCTTCATTTCAGAATATTTTGTATAATGTGGGTTAGGGGTTATTGCTTATTCTTTGCGTATGGATATCCAGTTGTTCAGCATCATTTACGGAAAATATCTTTCCTTCCATTTGGTTTTGGTGTCTTTGTCAAAACTCAAACAATTGTGTAAGGGTGGCTCCATTCTGGGTGCTCTGTTATATTCTAGTGATGTAATTGTTGGTCTTTATGCCAGCACTATGCTGTTTTGATTATTGTAGCATTATTATTGCAGCACACTGTAGTATCTTGCATACAGGAAAGATGCAGTAAATACTGGAAGGAAAAAAAAGCTAAAATTCTACACATAGCTCATCCTAATAACTACAACTAGTAAAACTACTAATTACTCCCCATTAAGTTTCTAAAGCAGCCTGGTTTTCCACGAGGTTTTTGCATTAAATGAAGACTCACCAATTCTAGGCTCCAAAACACTGGTGTTCTAGCAATGCAGATACCACATTTACCTCAGGGTGGTTATACCAGGCAGGGCATTTTAGGACAGGTGGTAAGAGGATATCTCAGTCACTTCTCTGCAGTTTGACAAAGAGGCACTCACAAGCTAAGTACTGATTGTTTCAACTCTCACGGATTAACCACAAAAAGCTGGGACACCACTTGAAATGACCAAAGATGAGGTGTGTCTTCTTTCTGGAAGAACAATACCACACAGACAACTGTTTTCCAGCTGCAGATGCGGTAATGACAACAATCTACTGATCCCCAACCAGTGTTTTCTAAAAAATTAAAGGGACTTGTTCTTTCCCATCTTGCAAGATGGTGGGTGAAAAAGTTGAGAAGCCAGATACTAAAGAGAAGAAACCCGAAGCCAAGAAGGCTGAGGCTGGTGGCAAGGTGAAAAACGGTCACCTCAAAGCTAAGAAGCCCAAGAAGGGGAAACCCCATTGCAGCGCAATCCTGTCCTTGTCAGAGGAATTGGCAGGTATTCCCCATCTGCTATGTATTCCAGAAAGGCCGGGTATAAGAGGAAGTACTCAGCCGCTAAGCCTAAGGTTGAAAAGAAAAAGAAGGTTCTTGCAACTGTTACAAAACAGGTTGGTGGTGACAAGAATGGTAGTACCCAGGTGGTTAAACTTCATAAAATGCCTAGATATTTTCCTACTGAAAATGTGCCTCAAAAGTTGTTGAGCCACGGCAAAAAAAAAAAAAAAAAAAAAAACCCTCAGTTGACAAGTGAGAAAACTGAGAGCCAGCATTACCACCAGGACCATTCTGACCATCCTCACTGGATTCCACAGAGGCAAGAGGGTGGTTTTCCTGAAGCAGCTGGCTAGTGGCTTGTTCCTAGTGACTGAAACTCTGGTCCTCAATCGAGTTCCTCTACCAAGAAAACACCAGAAATTTGTCATTGCCACCTCAACCAAAATTGTGATCAGCAATGTAAAAATCCCAAAACATCCCACTGATGCTTATTCAAGCAGCAGCAGCTACAGAAGCCCAGACACAAGGAAGCTGAGATTTTCAGTACAGAAAAAGAGAAATATGAGATTGATCAGAAAGCTGTGGACTCACAAATTTTACCAAAAATCAAAGCTATTCCTCAGCTCCAGGGCCACCTGCGATCTGTGTTTGCCCTGACTCATGGAATTTATCCCCACAAATTGGTGTTCTACATTTCTTAAGAAGAACCTAATTAAATAACTGATTAAAAAAAGGAGGACTGAATAAAACATGATAAAATCATTTGCGGTTGTGGTAAGATTTCATAAAACTTTTTTCACATACGTATCAGATCAATATATATAAATGCATTACCATGAACGCGGCAGTGAAAAAGTCTGAAAGTTACTGACAGGCACTATGATGCAGAAAGATAAAAGATATGAAGCAACTATTCTGCATGAAATGATAGAGCTGCAGATCTAAAGACTGTCTTCCCATGGACACAATAGAAAAGATGCCTAGTTGTGTGTGTTCCCTTACATCATGCAAGAGCACTCACCCTCAAGTTGGTCTAAGACTTGAGATCTATCCTGGCAGGCCAAAGGAGTATGAGAAGATCATGTAACCCTCTAAGTCTCAATTTCATCATCCATGAAAACAGCATTGCCTTGTGCACTAATTAACAGTTGTGAAGCTCAAATTAGATAGCATATAGCACTTTGAAAAATATAAATCACATGTTAATCTTTTTCCACTGCTTTCTTACATTAGCCCTATCAAAACTAGTTCTATGTTTGTAAGGTGAATAAATATCCATTCTATTTGTACAGGATAACAGAGCAGGCTTTGAAGTAGGAACAGACCAGGGTTCAAATCCAGGCTCTATCTCTTGCTAGCTGCATAATCTCATAGTCATGTAACTTCTCTTAGCTTCGTTTCCTCATCTGTAAATGGGAATAATGGTAACTTGTTGTACAAGTTAAATTAGAAAACATTCGTTGCATGATGCCTAACATTACTGTTAATAGAAACTACGAATGTCAGTTTTTCGTGTTTTTTTTTTTTTTTTTTTTGAGACAGAGTCTCGCTCTGTTGCCCAGGCTGCAGTGCAGTGGCACAATATCAGCTCACTGCAAGCTCTGCCTCCCGGGTTCACGCCATTCTCCTGCCTCAGCCTCCCAAGTAGGTGGGACCACAGACACCCACCACCATGCCCAGTTTTTTTTTTTTTTTTTTTTTTTGGTAGAGACAGGGTTTCACCGTGTTAGCCAGGATGGTTTGGATCTTGTGATCCACACATCTCAGCCTCCCAAAGTGCTGGGATTACAGGTGTGAGCCACCGCACCCGGCTGAATGTCAGTATTTTAATTCCCATTTCATGACGCCCTTTGTTGGTCTGAACTGCTCTGTGCTTGGAAAAATCAATCTTATCTTCTGGCTGGAATTATGTGATAATTCAACCAACTACCAAATTAAAAAATGAAACACACCCAGGAAAAGTTTATATAAATTATAAATGACCCTGAAGAATATAAGGATTTTTTTTAAATGATCATTTTTACAGATTGGTCCACTTCAATGACGAAGAACATGATTATGCAAATATTCATGTTGTGAACCCTGAGGGTGGGCTGAATATTTTGTGATTCACTTTTCCCTTTAAAGCACTTAGATTTCAACACCCTGGCCCTTCCTAACATCAACTGTGCATTCCAATACCTAAAATACTCCCAACCACTCAGCAAAAGGTCCCTAAAGTAGACATAAAAACATTAATGTACAAATATGAACAAGCTTTTCCCCATACCTACCAAACAGCATTCTATTACCTCCACCTTTCTAATTGTTTTTAAAGTTCCAATGATCGTGAAATTTGCCATCTATCAAGCTAACTTTAATTTACTTACACTACATCATATACATCAATTGTACACAACGTCCAAATATCTAAGTCAGATGTTCTGTGATGCACAGATTTCTATGGGTCCTGAAGACCCTCTGAGAGGACTCATGAAGTCAAAACTGTTTTCTATAGCAAGGCATTATCTGCCTGCTCGCTCGGATCTGCCTGCTGCTCGCATCTGCACTGTAGGTGAAAAGCAATGGTAAATTTGCTAAAGCCTTAGCAAGAATCAAGGCAGTGGCTTTAAACCGCCACTGTTACACCATAAAGTAAGGGAGATCATCTTCAGGAAGTTCCTAAATCATGTAATTCTTTTTCCCCCTTTTTAGTACCTTTTCAAAAGAGTCTTAGCATTCCCATCAGTGAAGAGCAGGCCTACAGACTTTTCATGTGTTGAAGAAGAGGAAAGAAGGAGAAATAGAATTTAAAAATTGGGATTTACTATTAGAAAGGAACTTCTATTACTTACTTCATTTTTTTTTTTTTTTTTTTTTTTTTAGAGAGACAAGGACTCGCTCTCTCACCCAGGCTGGAGTGCAGTGGCACGATGATAGCTTACTGCAGCCTGAACTCCTGGGCTCAAGCGATCCTCCCGACTTGGTCTCCCAAGCAGCTGGGACTAGACGTGCACACCACCACACCTGGCTAGAAGGAATGTTTTTGTTTTCTGTTCGTTTTTTGTTTTGTTTTGTTTTTTGAGACGGTGTCTCACTCTGTCGCCCAGGCAGGAGTGCTGTAGTGCAATATCGGCTCACTGCAACCTCCGCCTCCCAGGTTCAAGTGATTCTCCTATCTCAGCCTCCTGAGTAGCTGGGATTACAGGCGCGCACCACCACGCCCAGTTAATTTTTGAATTTTTAGTAGAGACGGGGTTTCACCATGTTTGCCAGGCTGGTTTCGAACTCCTGACCTCAGGTGGTCTGCCCACCTCAGCTTCCCAAAGTGCTGGGATTTCAGCGTTCCATGCTTCAATTGGGCACAAACCCTACGTAAGGCGACAGAAGGGAACTCTCAGGAGAACTGAGGCACGTCCGAAGAATGCTGACAGGTGGGAGTGGGGATAGGGGGCAATTAGGTAAACTGGAGGGGAACAGGGTCACTCGGGGGGAAATAGCCAAAGCCTCAGGTTTTCCTGCAGTTCCCACACTTGCATCCCTAAGGCTCCCGAGTAGTTACCGGAAGGAAGGCTGTGAGTGTATGTTGTCCTGGTCCTTGGCGTTTTGAACAAAGAATTGGACAAAACGCACAAAGAAAGTAACAAAACACAAGAATGAAGCAGCAAAAGCAGGGACTTATTAACGTGAGATAGCACTCCATAGGGTGCGAGTGGGCCCGGCTCGAGGCCCCGGTTACAAAGTTTTCTGGGTTTTAGGTACTCCTTCTGAGGTCCCTAACAGTTACCCCTTATCCGGATGAAGGGTTTGGTCCTGTGGCTAAAGACAGGTGAATTGGCGCCCTATGATGAAAGGATGGCCCGTGTTTGGCCCGCGGCCAATGCACGGCACGTTCCGTTCCCATCCGGGAGGCGGTGGGAAGGGAAGGATGCGGGGAGAGCAGCAGCCTGGGGCTACTGCTACTCAGTGATGGGAAGATGAGGATTTTCCTCTTGGTTTGGCTTTTGGACGTGGGCGTTAATTGGCCTCGGGTTCCCGCCCCCAGACCCAGGTGTTTTCCTTTTGATCCAGCTTTAGGAAGTCAGAACGAATGGGACTCAAGTTCCCTGGCCCCAGACTCTATTCTCCAGCCTCAGAGTGAGACGCCAAGGGTTGGATCTAAAGGGGGCCTCCCAGGGATAGTGGCAGGACACTCGCTAAGCCCCTTCCCCGCCCCGAATCCTCTGAGTATCGTCACCCTCACCCCAAAACCCCGACACACACACACTCACTCTCCCATCCCGACCCCCACGACCACAGGGTCCTCACCACCAGCAGGTTCCTGTCCTCCACCAGCTGCCGCTTCCGAAGGATCTCTGATTTCAGAATGTCCATCTCACCGCCAGAATTTAAGCTCCAGTTTCCCGCTCCAGCTCCTCGAACCCAGCCTCACTCGGCCGGCGGCCGCGAACCCACTGAGTATACAGTGCAACAAGCCCAAACACCTGAAGACAACAACTGACAGGGCCGCTTCCGGCGGAAGTTGGGATGAGCGAGAGGAGGGAAGAGAGCGCCCCGGGGCGCCTGTGGTGGCCAAAGCAGCTGTGTGTGAGTGCCCCCTGGCGGCGCCCTCCGGCAGGGCGCCTGTAGTTTGCCCTCGTAGAGAGGTTTAGGTGAACGTGGACTGAAACCCGGGTTTTAATAGTACCCTCTGGACCTGCTAGTTCCGTTCCAAAAGCCTTCTCGAAGAACACCTCAATAATGCCAGTTAAATCAAGATCTTTATTAACTGGAAATTTACATTAGGGTTTCTGAAGTTACTTGCTTGCAAAATTAGTGTACTAAAGGATGAGAAAAATCTAAATAATAATACTAACTTGTAACAATAGAGTCAAAGAGCAGTGTTCATTACTACCCTGTTAAATTTCCTGTGAACTTAAACGACTACATCCATTTAAGGCAGTTTGGAAGTCAATTTATCTCCACTCCCTCTGTTTTAGATTGCTTACCAATCTTGGTGATAATTGAGCATTTACCTCAAGCTGACTAATCACTTTTTTGGTCACGTGTTCAGCAATCAAGATTTTTTTCAGTGACATGATTGGAGAGGTAATCAGAAATTCCTTTTTTTTTTTTTTAAGTCCAACCCAAGGGAAAAAAAGTTAAATTGAAGAGGAAAATTATGTCAGAGATTTTTTAAGTCCCTAACATTTGTTTACAGTGGACTTATTTTTTGTTTCATGTCATTGAAGCACGTTTAAAAATTGTTTTTGTTAAATCATAATTGAACAATATTTGACGTTTTGTTTTTCTTACTCAAAAAAGGTAAGAAATATTCTGTTCGGTCAACTGATAAGGGGTAAAATGCTTTACAAAACAAAAAAAATGAACAATTGAATTGTTCCTTTCAATTTAGAAAGTCTTGCGGGGCGGCGGAGGTGGGGGGGTGTCGGTGATACTTCATCTAAAAGATATCTGAGGCCGGATGTGGTGGCTCACCCCTATAATCCCAGCACTTTGGGAGGCCGAGGTGGGCAGATCACCTGAGGTCAGGAGTTTGAGACAAGCCTGGCAAACATGGTGAAACCCCGTCTCTACTAAAAATACAAAAATTAGCCAGATGTGGTGGCAGGTGCCTGAAGTCCCAGCTACTCAGGAGACTGAGGCAGGAGAATTGCTTGAACCCGGGAAGTGGAAGTTGCAGTGCGTGGGGATCGTGCCACTGCAGTCCAGCCTGGGTAACAGAGCAAGACCCCGCCTCAAAAACAAAACAAAATAAAATAAAATATACCTGACTTTTGCCAGAAATAAGCCAACATAGGAAAATGTCCTTGAACTAAATATGGCAACACTCCTGTATGAATATGGGTTTCCCAGGTCACTAATTCAATGAGCAAATAATAATTTATTAGCATTTTCCTGATTTAGGGATTAGGGATTCTTAGACACAAAAAAAACCTAAAGGGTTAGGACAGATGACAGTAACAGCAATGGAGGTTTACAGAGAACACGATGGCTGGCCAGCTGGGAAACTATCAGTGCAAACCAGAGAAGGTACCAGCTACAGTTAACAGCCTCCTCTTACATTTTAGACTTTCGTTGATTTCTATGTTTATGTAAACATGTGCACTCAATCCTGATTAAGGCCTGAGATCAAAGAGTGGTAGAGAGAAATACTTGAACAAGCAACTGACAAGCAAGCTTTTCAATTCAAAAGGGAGGGGAAAAGATATCCAGGAGCATTTAGAAATACTTAAAAGAGGCCGGGCGCAGTGGCTCACGCCTGCAATCCGAGCACTTTGGGAGGCCAAGGCGGGCAGATCACGAGATCAGCAGATCGAAACCATCCTAGCCAACATGGTGAAACCCTGTCACTACCACAAAAATTAGCCGGGCGTGTTGGCATGTGCCTGTAGTCCCAGCTACTCAGGAGGCTGAGGCAGGAAAATCGCTTGAACCTGGGAGGCAGAGGTTGCAGTGAGCCAAGATCGTGCCACTGCACTCCAGCCTGGGCAACAGGGTAAGACTCTGTCTCAAAAAAAAATAAAAGAAAGAAAGAAAAGAAAAGAAAAGAAATACTTTAAAGAACAAATCACCCTGACCCTAAGAGAGACCATATTCATTTAAAAAAAAAAAATGCATCCCATTTCATCACAATCGTTATTTAAAAAGTGAAATATTGGAACTTGGTACAGAGGCTCACACTTGTAATCCCAGCACTTTGGGAAGCCGAGGCAGGAAGATCACTTGAGCCCAGGAGTTCAAGGCTACGGTGAGCATTGATCGCACCGCTGCACTCCAGCCTGAGTGACAGAGTGAGACACTATCTCTAAAACAAAAATAAATAAATAACAAATAAAAATGAAAAATTAGAAACAATCCAAGTGTTCTAAATGTAGGAACAGTTAAATAAAATATGGTTTATACATACAACCAAATCACATGGCATCATTAAAAACCATGTTTTTAAAAATTCAGTGGGAATGCCCATGACACAATATTCAGTCCAAAAGTAGAATGATGAAACTTTATAGCTTATAGTCTCTGCTTTTTAACAAAAGCATACACATATGCTTTTTAACAAAAACATATAGACATAATAAAACATTGATTGGAAGGAAACGTACCAAAACATCAAGTTTTTATCTGGACAGTAGAACAATTGGAGATTCTTATTTTCTGCTTTATACCACAATTTGGTACAAATCTCATAATATGGGGGGGAAAATTCAGGTATCAGTCTTTTTCTGTTTAATTATTATTTAGACTATTTATAAATTTTCTAGCATGTCTACTTTAAACATTGTATATGGTACATTTTGAAGAATACCTATAAAAGAAAGCAAAGGATCAGACAAAGAATTTTTAAAATTTCCATAGTTATTCCATCCAATATTTAAATATCTAATATATGAGCTCTGTACTACATTAGCTTCTGTGACCTAAACCAAAACATAGACCCTGCCCACAAAGAGATAGCCAGCTAGTTGGGGAATCGAGAAATAGATCTTGAAAAGTTAAAAAGTTAAATTATGTAATATTTAATAGTGTATATGCGGTTATAATTGCAGAAATTAAAAATCAGTCATCTTCTAAAAGAAAAAAGTAAAAATCAGTATAGGACTGATGAGCTATTCCTCTGTAGAGGTAACTCATCCTAGGAAATTATGTGTCATTTCTGGAGACTGGAGGGAAATGCCAGATTGAATCAGGATCACCTGGATTTGTTTTGTTGTTGCCCTAAAAGATGAAATGTAACTTAAACAGCAAAGAAAAGCTCTGTGATTCAATACAGTGGCTCTCAATCCTTAACATGCTTCAAGATAACCTGGAGGACTTTTTGAAACACAGACAGCTGGTCCCCAACCCCAGAAACTATCTTTCCCTAGGCTTGGGGTAGGACCCAAGAATTTGCTTTTTGAACAAACTCCCAAGGGAGATGGATGCTGTTGATCCAGGGACCTCATTTTGAGAACTGCTGACCTAATACATTATTTTGTCATCCCCTGGGGGGGAAAAAGTGCATTTGCAGTCTGAAATGCAGTCTGCACGAGTCTTGAGAATCAGAGCAGAGCAGGAAGGCTGGGTGGGTGGTATCTGCAGCACGGTCACAGGCACCTCGAAGGGCGCCCGTCCACTCCCAGTAATGCTGCTTCTGGGAATTTCCTAATGGCAAGGGGTCAGGCTCCCTCCGGATCCAGCCACCTCTACAAAACTGCTTTGTAGGGTTAGACCACAGAGAATGACTGATCCAATCTGGGACAATCAGAGTCCCTTCCCCAGAAAACTAAAATTGCAATGGAGTGGATTCTTCCAAGACTCAGGATATTTAAAATGTTAATTCCAGAGTGATAGCCACTTCACTTCAACTGGGCTTGTGCCTACTGTCCCACAAGAGCCAATTGTTATATTTTTGAGAATTCTGTGTCAGTTGTCAAACATAGCCATTATTAAATATCAAATGAGTTTACTTGTAATCAAGTAAATGATAATATAAATGAAGGTAATAAATACACAGAACCTAATTCTTATTTTACTGCATTTTTACTATTATGCTCTTGGAGTTATTTATGACTTGTATCTTTGTGGTTGAAATACTATAAAATGGTGGCTCCTGCAACCTCCTCCCAGTTCCAGGCTTGAGGACCCCACCTTGGTAGCTGGAAATCAGCCATAGTGACTGTATTACTCAGGGTTCTCCAGAGAAACAGCCACTAGGATATATAGGTATTTATCAGAAGAGATTTATTATGGGAATTGGCGCATGCAATTATGGAAGCTGTGAAGTCCCACAATCTGCCATCCGCAAGGTGAAGAACTGGGAAGGCCAGGGGTATAATTCAGTTGGAGTCTGAGGGCCTGAGAACAGGAAGGTGGGAGGTTGAGCTGACTGGGCTAGCATAAGTCCCAGAGTCTGAAGGCCCAAGAACCGGAATTCTGATGTCCAAGGGGAGTAAAAGGCTATGTCCAGCTCAAGAAGAGAGAGACAGGTCAGGCATGGTGGGTCATGCCTGTAATCCCAACACTTTGGGAGGCTAAGGCAGGAGGCTTTGTTGAGGCCAGGTGTTCAAGACCAGCCTGGGCAACATAGCAAGACCCCATCGCTAAAAAAAAAAAAATTAATAAATAAATAAAAGAGAGATAGAATTCCCCCTTCTTCTTCTCTCCTGGCCCTCAACAAATTGGATGATGCCCACTCATTACTCAGTCCACCAACTCAAATGCTAATCTCTGCCAGAGACACGTTCACAAACACACCCAGAAATAATGTTTTACTGGGGATCTGGGTGGACATCCCTTAGGCCCGTCAAGTTGACACAGAAAGTTAACCATCACACTGGCAGTATTTACACCACAGAAACTGGCAAACTGTTGATCTATTTTTTTGCTGGCTGTCTAAACTTTAAAGTTTATAGAGAAAATGTTCACAATACAGATCAGGGTTTTTCAACCTTGGGCCCCATAATTCCTTACTGAGGGATGCCCCTGGCCTCATGTCATTAGACACCAGTCACATCCTTTCCCTAGTTGTGACAAC